ACATAGAGAACTAACTTTAGTAAATCCCACTGACTCTGCAGAACAGCATAGTCAGGACTCTGTGAAGCCACCAGGAAGCCCCTTCCCTGGACCTGACAGATGCACTGACACAACCAACACTCCTGAGTCCTGAATCTCTTGGGGGCTTTGGGAGCCTCTAATGTCCTCAGGTTCCTCTGGTGGAAGGTCCCATCTGAGTGTCCCTGCATGTGGTCCAAATACCACTGCACTTCTACTTCTCAATGAATGACAAATACACACTGTGATGATTTTCATAGAATGCACTTCAGGTCTCCCTTCTCTGCTTTACCTAACACTTGGGTGGTGGCTACAGTGGATTCTAGGCCAGGATGTATCTTCCTAGGTGAGGCCATCTCTTTGTGTGACACCCAAGTATTCTTTTCTATTCTTGGTGCTCCATCCATTTGGTTCTCTTCCCCTCTGACCATATACCCCATGGACCTGAGACTCCACATCCCATGTGAAGACAGACTCACTGCTCAGTGACCCACAGCTGAACCTCTCAGTCCCTGCAGGAATCACCATCTCCTCCTGCACCTGGGTTTCTTCTTCAACCTGCATGGACTTGCCCACACTGGTCAAGGCATCAGGGGTAGAATTCAGACATCACTGCTCATTGCTCAGATTCCCTTTCAAAAGAGAAAGTCTCTAGGGCTGGTCATGGAGGAGCTGTGGGGATGTTCCCCATGTGGGCTCTGAGTTTTCTGCCATGCCTGAAGGACTGAGTTCTCACTTAGTCACAGAGACAGACGAGAAGATGTGTTTCAGACTTTGTATCTGACACAGGTGGTTGCTGTGGAGAAGACTTAGAAAATTCCCATTTTTTAGGACCATGAGTCAATGCTGTGTTTCTCAAGCATGTGTCACTTATGGGTGTCACCAAGTCATTTACATCAGTGCATATTTATCCTCTATGTCAATTTTGATCTCATAATATACAATCACATGGAACCTGCATGAAGCAAGCATTCTTTCTAAGCAAATGTTCACAGTAGTCTAATGAATCAGACAAATCTCTATCATTTCAGTAAATGTCCATCATGAGCTTTTCCACAGGAAGGCGATATGCAGTTGGTAATTGTGCAAAATCAGGTTGGAGGATAATCCCTTGCAAGATCAATCACTAAGGATCCTGGCTGAGGACCAGGGTGCCCAGGGAGGAAGAAAACCTCTGTCCCAGCTCTGAAATCCAGCACACAGGCAGGAAGGGGTTAATTTCCCCTCTTCAGTTTGTTTCAGTCAGTACCTTGGTGGAGTATAGGGTGCCCACCTGCATAGGGAAAACAGTCTGCTTTTCTGAGCCATCATCTCAAAGGTAAGTTCACCTGTAAACATGCTTGGACAAACCCATGCATATCTATGAATAGCCAAATGGATGGGCACCTAGTGATCTAGTCAAACTAACACAAAACAAACAGTCAGAACAGAGCTTTTAGGAGAAGAATCCCAAGGCAGAGATAATATGCATCTGCCCAATGCATGTAGGTAGAGGTGAACCAACTACTTTAGACTCATTATGGTGAATGCTTTCTTAGGTACCTACATGTTGAATGTCAGGTGAAGAGAGAGCACCCTGCCAGAGATGAGGCAAAATCTTAATTAATCTCCTTGTGTCCTGTGCCTGCAGAACATGTGGGCCCTGAGTGCCCCCTCTTGTTTGCTGCCCCACCTGTAAGCAGGTTTTTGTGTGGACTCACACTGACTTCCCCTCACTGTGTCTCTAGCACAGTAATACAGAGCAGAGTCCTCAGCTCTCAGGCTGTTCATTTGCACATGGGCAGTGCTTTGGGAATCATCTCTTGAGATGGTGAATCTGCCTTTCACAGACACAGTATATTATGTTGTGTGACTGTTAGCTTTGTTTCTGATGACCCCTACCCACTATAGTCCCTTTCCTGGAGCCTGGTGGATCCAGCTTATATAGTAGTCACTGAACATGAATCTGGAACCTTCTCAGGACAGTCTCAGAGACCCTCCAGGCTGCCTCAGGTCCCCACCTGACTCCACCTACCACACCTTACATTGGACATCTGTGGGCAAAAGAATTTGCATTAGCAGGGGACACACACACACACACACACACACACACACACACACACACACACAGAATGCCCCAGGTTCTCTGTTACCATGTAAAAGGATCAGGGCAAGACCCATGTCAGCTCAAACTTCATGGTGCTTCCTTATGGGTTATTGGCTTCAGTGATAGCTAACTGCAGAGACCCAGGGGTTGGGACTGATATCACTGAGGTGCAGGGACAGCCACAAATCTAGTTTTATCTGCACGTGGTGATGCCCATTTGCATGCAATTCTACCCTTAGTGACAGAGAAGTCAAGATCCTTGGTGATGGTCCCCACTTGACTAGAGGGAAAAGCACACTTGTTGTGACAGTGGAGAGTTTTAGGAGAGTCTGGTTAATCTGAGTGCTGAAGAGTCATTTTTGTCATTGCTAAGTTCTACCACCTGGCAGTTTAACACAATTTAATTTAAAGCAATATTCCACATGCACAGTGTTTCATGCTACTCAGCTCAGCATAAATTCTTTGTATGACATTGTCCATGTGTCGACACAGAGATGTTCATCCCCATCCTCAGTCTCCCTGGCTGAGGTCAGTGGGCACTACTATTGCTTCTCTCTTGATCTTTCAAGGCAGAATTCCTGCCCATTGTGCATCTGTGCACCCAGAGTCCATCTTTGTGGGGAGAGAGAGTGGGAAGAAGGAACAAACACAGGTGGAGCCTTTCACCTGCCCTGGACACCCTCTGGGCTCAGCCTCTTCACCCTCTCCCCCAATCTCTCAATAACTGTCACATCAAGTGACTGAGGCACAAAAAGCACATTATTAATTATTCAGTAAGGGGTTACTATAATCAAATGCCATGTTGTCATTATTATATACAATCTCTGGGAAGATTGAAAAATGACATGCTTAGTTAAAATCATGAAAACTACATAAATCTGCAGTGCCATTTGGTCAATGCTACACCCAAGTGGCATTCATGCCCTCACCTCCAAGCACACATCAGCCTTGTCCCTGTGACCTGGTGACTAGAAGAAACATGCATTTATGGATTTTACCTCCAGTGAAATGTGGACCTCCATCCATGCTGATGTTGTAAGTATTGAAAGGGTTCATGCATTACACCCACTTCTAGTGCTGCCTTCTCACTACATCTGTTCAATGGTCCCACATGATTTTAGACCAGGGAATTTCTGTTATAAAAAACACCAGAGAAAAACCACCCTTGAATATCACTGGAAGGACACTGATGCTATACTTTTACCAACACGTGTGGCAGCAAATCTCCAGGGAGGCAGCCCCTGTGGTCATGCCACTCTACAATCCTAATACATTCCTGGTCTGTAACAATCTACTGTGAACTGGGTCTTTGGCCCACAACAGAAATTATTTTATCAATAATCTGGTGGTGGGAAATGCAGTAACAGCTGCTGGCAGATAGATGTCAGTTACAGAACAGATTCCTACACAACTGTTTGCTCATTCTAATCTCAGAGGGTGGCTGGGGCAAGGGAGCTTCCCTTGTCCTCTGTTACAATGGAATTGACCCCATTCATAACAGCTCCACCCCCAAACCATCACTTGTCCCAAGGACCCATGTCCTAACACCATCACCTGAGCTTCAGGTTTTAATAATTTGGCAGTTTTGAAGTGACACCAACACCAGCTAATACGAACAACAATAGGACCAAATCATGACTCCACCCAACTGGAAGGCTGCTTCAGTAGAGCTCCCCAAACTGAGGATCCTCATAAATCTCTGGACACTTCTCATCTGTGTCAGCAGAAAATGGACCCAGGCCCTTCAAAACAAGCTGATATCCCTGTAGAGTGGACAGGTTCCACCCTACACTGTGAGCAAAGATGTTCACATAATTTATTATTGTTTTCCCTTATTGCATATATATAACCATTATTCTCATTTTCAATGGACTAAAATTATTTTCTAACTGTAACTATAGGTGGCTCTGTGTTCTCACTCCCACTTCCTAGGTGTTCTGTGAAATAAGGAGCCAGGCTGTAGTGTTTGATGTCTGAGGCTGACATGTTGAGGTTCACCCTTCTCTCTCCTCCTGCACACACATGGGAAATCTGACATGAAAGTCGGGATTGGCCCTATTTTGATGCAGGTGAAAGATGGAAACCACACAAACCTATCCTGTGAGTAGGGCCCTGATCAAGTGTGAATGATAACACCTGGACCAGATCCCTTATCTGACATGATGCAGCCACTCCTGACCTGCTGAAAAGTCCACCCTCCTCTCAATAGACTCCTCAATGAAGGGACAAACATTTCCATAGTCCCTCTGTGTGTGTGATATCATCATTCTGGACATCCACACCATGGTATGGTGGGGGTCCCTCTATGTCCACATCATGTAAACTGCTGTTGATGCCATGGATGTGGAATTAAGTCAAAGACCATCATCCCCAGATTTTTTTTTCCCTCTGGGACTTGGTTCCTACCACTCTGGTTCCCCTGTCCAGTATGCATGTGTCCTGTTACTGGTCAGCTTGGACTCTCAGCTGTGTGGGGATGGGCTGCTTGTGGTTTCCAGCAGAGCCTCTGATTGGATGCAGCTTATTTGGGTCAGGGGGTTTGATGATTCATTGATGTTTCATTAGAATAAGAGAAAAAAAATGTGTGTGACTATCTGACTTTGGAGCATGTGAGAATGGTTTCCTCCTGTGACAACAAGCCTATGTAACTCAGATACTGTATGGGTCAGCACAGAAGCATGAAGGGAGGGGGGCTCCCAGGGGAAAACTGCTGTGTGGAGAGTTAACTCCACACCTGCCAGGAATCCAGCCCTTAAACTGCATCTGCAGCTGCTCCCAAACTGATGACTGTGCTCAGTGTGACCTGAGCGCCCCCTGGTGTCCTGAGGGCCCCAGCCACCTAACCCTCTGGTCTCCAGGGAAGTTTTTGTCTGGGCTCACAATGACGTCCCCTCACTGTGTCTGTGGCACAGTAATACATGGCCGTGTCCTCGGCTTTCAGGTTGTTCATTTGCAGGTAAAGTGTGTTCTTGCCATTGTCTCTGGAGATGGTGAATCGGCCCTTCACAGAGTTGGCGTAGTATGTGCTACTACCACTACTACTAATTACTGAGACCCACTCCAGCCCCTTCCCTGGAGCCTGGGGGACCCAGCTCATTGCAAACCTACTGAAGGTGAACCCAGAGGCCAGGCAGGAGAGTTTGAGGGAACCCCCAGGCTTCGCCAAGCCTCCCCCAGACTCCACCAGCTGCACATCACACTGGACACCTGCAAACACAAAAATGTCAGGTCAGGAAACTCTCACCCTGCACTGTTTCTCTCAGCCATATCCAGTCTCATATTCAGTGTCTCTCATTCTCCATAACTTACCTCTTAGAATAGCAACAAGGAAAATCCAGCTGAGCCCAAACTCCATGGTGAGTGGTTTGTGTTCTGTCCTGACCAGGGACTATGAACACCTGAGAATCCTGGGCTGGGCTCCTGTCCCAGAGCTGCTGGGTCAGGGCTGGGCTGCTTTTCATGCTCAGAGAAGCCCCATTTGCATGCCTTCCTGCTATATATGGAGCCCTGGTGTTGGACGCTGACATGAACTACATGGTCCCAGAGTGTGACATGTCAAAGGATAGAGAAGGTACATGACTAGGAGAGTAAATTCTCATAAAAGAAAGGGATTTAAAATAAGTGATGTCTTTGAAAGTCACCAGTAATGAACATACCAAGAGGATTAAAAATGCTCATGAGCAGAGGGAGAATCAAAGAGCAGGAGGTTGTTGTTCAGGTCACAGGAAGTTAGAATTGACCCTGTTTCCCCTGCAAAGCAATCACAGTATGAACTAAGAACAGAGCATGACCCTAGAGCATGTGGACCCAGTTTTGCAGGAGGTGGAGCATCTGTGTGGGTCATTGGAGGCAGAAGTGTGAACTCTACACAGAAGCAGACAGTGCTCCCAGGTCATGTTCATACAATGGAATGTGGTGCTAAATGTGCAGCAGCCTCACCATCTCCTCTTGTTTTTATTCATCAGACTCTGCAGTAAAACCAGATTCTAATATTTGGACATAGAAGAAACTCAGTCATGACCAGATCTGCTTTGTTGAAGATGTAGGTAGAAATTGGGTAGTAAGCATGTTGATATTTTAGTTATTTGATTATGGAAACATTGATGTAAACCACTAATAGAAAATAACTGATGTAAATGAAATCATAGTTGACATAAAGAATGTTATTTTTATTTATCCATTGATTACAAAATGAATAAATCATTCAAAAACACTTCCCATTACTGGAGCTGTTGAATCTAACTTTATGTTAAAACTGTTCATCATTGCTGGCTCAGCCTGATGCTCACTCTCAGGGTCTGTGTTTACATGCACATGTGAAGTAGCTGTAATCAGAGAGCAGGAGATGGAGTGGATTAGGCCCCCTGGTTCTTCTATAGTTAATTTCAGAAGTGTCATCTCCTCTTTTTCTCTCTGTCCCTATTCATGTATGCATGAGACCCATGGGAAACTGTCACTATGGTCATACCTGATAGGTGTCCACTGAACTTGAACCCAATGCACTGAATATATCAATGTGCAATGTGGGAAAATGGACTCCATGCAAGGGGGTGAATTACTAAGGATGGTAAATGAACCTCATTTCAGCTGACACACTCGCTCTGACCTCCAGACTCTGCAAGAATAAATGTGTATAGATGGCAGTGCCACGTGTGTGATCAGTTCAGTTGTCATAGGAACATAGTGCAGGTTGGATGTGGGACAGCCATTGTAAAGGGTGCCCCCACACTGATCTCCACCATGTGATGACATTAATAGTGGCCAAGGGACAGGGACACTCACACAGCTGTGGTCTCAGGTGAGGATACTTCTTGGGATCTCACCTTGAGGGAGGACTGAAGGAATACTGAGATGTCACAGACTGATCCGGAACCTGGAACACCTGCCAACCCTCCACTTTGCTGCAAAAATGTCATCTGTTTGATGTTCGGTCAGAGGCAAGAACAGAAATTTCTTCTTGACTTAAAAGTACTTTCATTTTCTGAAACATGTTACATTGTTTAGACATAGGATAGTGTCTTAGAACTTTCTAGGAGACACTGCAGTCCAATCCCAAAGCTGATCACATCACAATTCCCAGATGACACCTCCATGAACACTCCTCATTCCTAGGACAAGGAGGCTCCCAATGTGCCCCCTGCACAATCACAGTAAATAACAGGGGTCCTCTCAGGAGCATCTTCCCAGACACTTCCTTGCAGTGCATCTGGCTCCCCGAGTATCTGAGGTGCATGTGGCAGCATCAGTCCTGGTCTCAGATCCTGACTGTGTGGGAGGAAGTCAGGAGGCTCATCACCCTCCTCAGCCCACACCAGCTGCCCCATCCTTCAGGGGTTTTGACACACTCAGGATATGGGTCATCAAACTCTGTCTCTTGCACAGGAATGCACAGCCATCTTGTCATTGCTCAGGCTACTCAGCTCTCTGTAGGCTGTGCTTGGGGAATTGTCTGCAACCACCGTGACTCTGCTGTAGACCTTCTGTGTGTACTTTGTTTCATTATCTTCAGTATCAGTTTTCCCATTCTACTCAAGCCCTTGTTCTGAGGTCTGTCATACCCAGTGCATACAATATTTGGTGAAGGTGTATCCAGAAGCCCTAGAGAGGACCTTCACTGACGATCTAGGCTTCCTCAGCTCAGCCCCCAACTATACCATTTGCATCTGGGTGTAAATGCCTGTGGAGAGGATGCAAGAGTGGGTGGAAATACCCCTCAACCATACCAGGTCCCCTCCTCAAACCAAGTTCTGGGGAGTCCTTTTCCTTTAGCCACTGCCCCCAGGAAGAGGGCTCTCCAGCTCTAGTCCATGGTGAGGGGTTGTGCTGTCAGAACTTCTGTAGGGGAGTGTGTGATTGTGGGTGATGTTATCAGGGCACAGCCAGACCCACATTAACCTAGTCTACCTCTTCTCATTTGCATATGCATGTGGGAGAATGTTTCATAGATGAAGCCCTTCCCACTTTAGAGGGGTCAGGACTTCAGCAGAGGACACAGAGACAATGCTGAGTGGCAGTCTGATGGACCAAATCCTAAACCACCTGTGAGGACGTGTCCCCTGGCAGGTCCCTGAGCTCTTTGCTGATATAGTTTCTCCCAATGAGGAACCGGACCGCACAGGGCATGCTTCTCATTCTGAATCTACCTTTCAGTGACACAGAAACCCCCTGGAAAACTCTGGCCTTGATACCCGAATGCTGTATTACTAGACCAGTGTGTCTTCAAAATTTCCACATTAGTTAAATAATTCCTATGTTTATTTCCTTAGAATTCAGATATAAAGAAAACATAAAAATACCCTTATTGACTGTGGTTCTCATGTCTTATCGAGTTTGGTAAATGCTCTGATTGAATAGGGTATGTACAGTCTCCCGATGTCCAAGTCTTACTTTAGATGCTTTTATGGGAAGAGGAAGATGCAGGCCCCCAGAGAAAAAATTTCTCCCCAGCTCCCTCTGCAGCTGATCCTGAAGCAGTCACCAAGATATTATGGGCCCCGAGTGCCCCCTACTGCCCAGGCTGCACACGGCAGGAGATGGTTTTTCTGGACTCCCAGGGCTGTATGATATCTCAGTGTCTCTAGTGCAAAATTAGAGGCTAAGCCCTGACTTCAGGAAGTTTTCTCTGGGACCCCATGTGCTTGGACATATCCACACAGAAAACTGGCCTTACGAAACCCCAGTGCCTCTGCAGGGAATCAAACCAGGGCTCTATGAGCCACCAGGGAACCCCCTTTCCAGGAGCTGCTTGATGCACTGACTCAGCAACACCCCTGAGTCCAGAAGCTCTCAGGGGCTTTGAGGGACCCCGATGTCCTCAGGTTTCTCTGTTCTCAGGTCACATCTGTATATTCTTGCATGTAGCCCTAATTCCATTACACTTCTACTGCTGTTGATCAATAAAGAACACATACAATGTAGTGAGTTTCATGGTAATGACCCCAGGTCTCCCTGCTCCCCTGCTCCTAGCACAGTGGCAGGATCCCCACTCTCACATGAACCACATGAGCGATGTGATTTAATGACAGAACAAAAGCAAATGCGATTAACATGAAGGCTGGAAACTTCCTGACCTTGTTGTCTCCTGTTTTCCCAGCTCCTGGGACTTGCAGAGGCCATCACGAGAAGCTCTTGGCTTGTCATCCAGAGGGTCAGACCCAAGTTACCCTTTTCCACTTAGTGTAGCCAACATCCACCTGACTTCTGTGTGTGTGGGGGGGTCATTCTGATGGGTCAGCTCACAGGTGCCCATTGCAGAGCACACAGCCAGGAGCCCCAGTGGTAGTACCATGGGGGACATTGGATGGACGGACGTCTTCTCAGCAAGAGAAGTAGCTGCTGGTTCAGCAACACAGGGGCCAGGAAAGTGGTCCTGGTGTGTCAGAGTCTGTGGAGCAATGTCAATGTAGTTTTCCACTGTCCCCATGGTGTCCTGAGCACTGTCTGAAGCCCACAGCTCCCATTTTCCTCAGAGAGGTTTATATTTGGGTTCATGTTGATTATCCCTCTCTGTGTCCCTTGCACAGTAATACACAGCTGTGTCCTCAGTGGTCACAGAGCTCAGCTGCAGAGAGAACTGGTTCATGAACATGTCTCTAGAGATGGAGGTGTGGCTCATGAGAGACAGGCTGTGGAAGGCCACTCTTCATGTGTGGGCCCAGTTCCCACTTGGAAATGCACAGGACCCATGCCCATGGAGAGGTTCTCCTGTGTGGAATCAGTCCTGCAATGTACCTAGGCCACTGTGAGTCTTGCTTTTTCTGCTAAAAACTTCCCCACCCTTAATTGAGGACATTTAATGCAAATCAAGTAATTTTACTTCCTAAAAAACATGGGAAACCTTCCAAGGATGAGTGTAACCCATCCAAATACTTTTGCCTTTTCATTCGCAAGTGTCCCTCTTCTGTGATGTGATTAGCAGCATTGGCCCCTTTGTTTTCTGTGTAAGTTAACCACCTAAAGTGAGCCTGTGCATAGTAAATGAGGACATTTACTTCTTGTCATATGTCCAGTAAGACAATAAAAGTTCATTGGAGCACGGGCAGAGTCTTTTGCTCCCTTGGAGAGAAAAGCCATGATGTCCGTTTTCCTCCACTGGATCTGGTAATCCATGTGAATGTCTCATTTCATCCATAATGATGTGGACCCCACAAGCCAGGGTCCGCATCAGCTGGCACCCACTAACAGGCACCCAGGGATACAAGTTGTGGTCATTATGGACAACACACCAACAAGGTGGGAGTAAGCACACATCAGCTCAGGTGAGGGCCGAAGACCCCAAGTGCTTTTCGGGAATGTTGTAAAGGTGTGTTGAATGTCAGAGGGAAAGTGTCTTTCATCCTAGGCCATTCTTCTCTTGTGACCACTTTGAAAACATTTCTTTAAAGATTTCTGTAAATCCTCAACCATGGAGAACAGGCTCTCTAAGGAACAAGAGCAATGCTTTGAGCTATTTCAGCAGTTATGGGGTC